GGTAATATTCTGGCTTCCAAGGTGGCCGAAATATTACCACCAACACCGAAATCTAGGATCACCTTCCCCCTGTGGAGGCAACCCCCTGTCTTGGTGTTGGTGCCAATTTCCAGGCCTCCGAACAGAGGCCTCTCTCGCCTCCGCGCGCCACAGCTTGATCGCGAGGGGCAGCCGCCGGGGCCGCGGCCACGGCGCCCCCGCCGCCCCCCGCGGGGGCCCCTCTGTGAGGCCGTGGCGGCGGGCAGGCGCCGCAGCCTCTGCCTGGACATGCTGCTTGCCATCCGCCGCTGGAGGAGGAGGAGGAGGAGGAGGAGGAGAAGGAGGAGGAGGAGGAGGTCGAGGAGGAGGGGGAGGAGGAGGAGGAGGAGGAGGAGGTGGAGGAGGAGGAGGAAGGAAGGAAGGAAGGAAGGAAGGAAGGAAGGACGGACGGACGGACGGAGGCAGGGAGGGAGGGAGGGAGCTGCCTGGCCCCACGAGCGTTCGGTCGGGCGTGCCCTCCTACAGGAGGATCTTGTGAGGAAACATGATAAACATAACCCCAGACATCAAGAGACGGCCACGCATATGAAAGCAAAGTGTCGTCGCCAGGCTAGTGCTTGACCACTTGAGAACACCCCTCCTGTAGAGGGAAATGACCGACTTAACGCTACAACCTCTGTCTGGACCTGCTGCTTGCCATCCGCCGCAGCCTCGCCCCACGAGCGGCGCCCGGCATCTGGGACGGGCAGCTCGGCCGAGCCCCCTGCCTGGGGAGCAGCGATAGGGGGAGGGGGGGGGGGCTGGCATAGGGGGGGGATGCATCGACCTGGAATCGGCGATACGTCGCCGACAGATCGGCGATAGGCCCCCGATAGTGAATGCGCATCTTCCTGGGTGGGCTGGGGCTATCAAAACCCCCATCGGCGATCAATAATCGATTGGGGGTCGATGCATCCCCCCCTATGTTGAACACGGACCGACCGTCCCGGCATTCCTACAGGCCTAGAACGACATGTTCTTCGAACCCACAAACGTTCTAAGAACAAAAGCAATGTTCCTAGAACATGAGCCCGATGTGTCAAAACAAGACAGACCCAGCCAGAAATGTTCTGATAACACTTTTCGTGCAAGGCACAGCAGATTACTAGAACACTCCCTGGTGGGCCTATAGTAGGCGAGCGAGGACGCTGCGCCACTGCTTGAATACTACGCCGTCCCCCCGCTATCGTTGCCCCTGACTGCCCCGGGAGGGCCCGTGCCGGGCATCTCTCGTGTGGACACCAAGAGGTACCGCTACCGCTACTCCCTGGACCTCTCCCCTGATGCGTTCCGACCAGGATTTCGAGGCGAATCCAGCGATGGCGACGAGGGAGGGCTAGGAGGCCCATTGCGGGGAACACGAGGGGAGGGTAGAGGTATGGGTACCGAGCCCTCCTCTGACTTCCGATATGCTATGAACACATGTTTAATTCGATGGTAGGACTGTTAGGGTGTCCATGGTCGTGGCATCCACAAGGGTATACCCTTAGGTCAGGCTTGTCCCCCTACAGGAGGATTTTTGACGACAACTAAGAAATACCCCAAACATACCCCCAAAAGGCAAAACAATATTTCAAAAATAGCCCCCAGACTGCTTCTGCACTATTTTTGGACTTGTTTGGGGGGCATGTTTTAACTTTTCGTCGAAAATACCCTTGTAGGGGGACACGCCCGACTTAAGGGTACACCCCAAAGTTAACCAACAAATAATCAAAAAATAGTTGGGGGGACTATTGTTTGAGAATTTTGTGACCATTTTTGGATTTGTTTTCATACGTTCTAGCTTTCGTTGCAAATCCCCCTATAAGGGGGACACGCCCGACTTCAGTGTACCCTGGTGCCCTCCCCTCGGGTCAGGGGGACGTAGGACCTGGGTATAGGGGACTCGGAAATCCCCGACGAGGTCGTCAAAAAAATGACGAGGCCGAGCCTGCATTTTGACGAGGCCTCCTGCTGCAGACATCCCACGAAACTCCTCCTCGTCAAAATCCGAGGCGCGGTCGTCAAAAAACGATGGCGAACCCAAGTCCTGGCAAACGCGCACGCGCGCAGGGGGCTCGGCGCGCGCACGGGGCGGCCCGCAGAGGGGCGGCCCGCAGAGAGCGCCCGGAGCTCTCCTGAGAGCGTGCACGGCGCCCTGGGCGGGCGGCCTTCCGCCCCGCCGCCGGCGGCAGCTCACGGGGGCCTCCCAGGAGGCGGAGGAGGAGGAGGAGGGGGAGGAGGAGGAGAGGAGGGGAGGGCGGAGGAGGAGGAGGAGGAGGAGGAGGAGGAGGAGGCGGAGGAGAGGAGGAGGAGAGGGGAGGGGGAGGGGGAGGAGGAGGAGGAGGAGGAGAGGAGGAGGAGGAGGAGGAGGAGGAGGAGGAGGAGGCCCATGGATTCTAACTCATGGGAGACTGACATTCAATCGTGTCCGCTATTGCGAATCGACGCCGGTCGACGCTGAATCGACGCTGAATCGACGCTAAATCTACGCTACCCGACGCTAAATGGGCGCTACCTCACCAATTCCCAGACGCTAATCGACGCTAGGCGACGCCAAAGACAGAACTGCGAGGGGACACGCAAGGCTCCCAAGAGTGGCTGCCGAACCCGCCCCCCCCGCTCGGCCTCGTCCGCTATCTTGATGCACTTCTGCAGGATCGACTCCGGGATCACCTCCCACATCGGCCTGGCGGCAGCTCGTCGTCGTCGTCGTCGTCGTCGTCGTCGCCGCCGTCGTCGTCGTCGTCGTCGTCGTCGTCGTCGTCGTCGTCGTCGCTCGTCGTCGTCGTCGTCGTCGTCGTCGCTCGTCGCTCGGAGCGGCGGGTGCGCGGCTCGAGCAGCGGATGGGGGGGCGCGGCCCCCCCCCGGGCGAGCCGCGGCAGGAGCGGGCAGGCGAGCGACGGGGCAGGCGAGCCGCACGGGCGCTCCCCCGAGGCCCGGCGCGCCGTCGCTCGGGCGTCGAGGCCCCCGCGCACCTCTCGACTTCGTGCGTGCTGGTTTTGCTCTCAGAGCCCCGAATCATCAGGGCTAACTCGGGTCAGGACTGACTCGGGTTCGTTCTTCGGGAATCCGAGCCCGACTTACCCCGGACCCGAGCTGCCCCGGAGGATCCGGGCGTCCAGAGCCCCCAGAATCATCAGGGGTAACTCGGGTCAGGGCTAACTCGGGTTCCTTTTTCGGGAATCCAAGCCCGAGTTACCCCGGACCCGAGTTACCCCGGATAACTCGGGCGCCCAATGCTCAGTGATCCAGGGTGCTCCTCTCGGCGAAGGACAGGCCTCCCTTTGGTACATTCGGCTAGGCGTAGGAGTGACCCTGGGAAAGAGTGACCCTTGGTGCGCAGCTTTTGGGGGCGCGAGGGAGCCAAAATCCAAGGGCGCGGGCCGCTTATATCGCATCGCGCTCGGCGATCGGGGGGAGCCCGATGAGCCCGCACCAAAGGTCACTCCGGCGAAAGGTCACTCTTACGTGTAGTCGATGAACCTCCCCTTCGTGAAAACGGCCCGGGACCGAAACCGACGGACCTGGACCCGCAGAACCGACGGCCGCGACGCCCTCTCGCGAACCGCAAACGGCCGATTCGCGAATCGACGCGTCAAGGTAGGAGGTCTGTCCACCTCCTGTCCTCAAGGGTCCTCGCCGAGAGAAAACAAAAACGCCACACGTCCGAGCGATGCCAGGCAGGAGGAAAGGGCTGCGGAAGCGTCCCTGTGCTCGGCGAGCTCCTCCAGCGGCGGGCACGGGCGGGCCGCACGGGCGGCGTGCACGCGCGTATTTTTTAGGGGGCATTTTGAAATTTTGGAGGTATCTTGACATGGTTCGTCCAAACACCGCCTGTCGGGCGACAGGCTCGACCCCTTTTTGGCCATTTTGGCAATTTTGGGGAATTTGGGGCATTTGTTTGGCCATTTTGGCATATGTTGGGGGTATATTTTTTTATTTTCCGTCCAAAGCCCGCCTGTAGGGCGACAGGCCCGACCCCATTCTGGCTCTGTCCGCTGGCGCAGGCGAGCCCTGCCTCGCCGCCGACGTAGCAAGTGTCCCGGGGCCCCTCCCAGCGGCTGCGCGAGCGGAGAGGGCGGGCCATTGTGGAGAGCGCGGGCGGGCCGCACAGGCGGGCGGGCCGCACGGGCGGCGTGCACACGCGGGCGGGCCGCCCCTGCAGGCGCGGCCACACGTGCGTGGCGAGGAGGCGGGGAGGGCGGCGCGCACAGAGGGCCGGGGGCGCGGGCATCTGGTCATACATCGGCGGGGGGCGAGCGAGGGGGGGGAGGAGGAGGAGGAGGAGGCGGGAGGAGGAGGAGGGGGAGGAGGAGGAGGATGAGGAGGAGAGGGGGAGGAGGAGGAGGAGGAGGAGGAGGAGGGGGGGGGAGGAGGAGGAGGAGGGAGGAGGAGGAGGAGGGTGGAGGGGAGGAGGAGGAGGAGGAGGAGGAGGAGGAGGAGGAGGAGGAGAGGAGGAGGAGGATGAGGAGGAGGTGAGGAGGAGGAGATGGGAGGAGGAGGAGGAGGAGGAGGAGGAGGAGGCGGAGGCGATGTCCACTCGCTGGGTATTCCTTCCCGCCTGCTCGCCTTGGCCTGCCCCGGACGCTGGAGGGCACCGAGGGGGAACGAAAGGGGGGGGACGGGCTCAGGGGCGGGGGGGGGGGGGGAAGCGAGAAGGAGAGGGCCTCCTCCAGAGGCGGGGGGGCTCCTCGGAGGCCCCTCGCGCCTCCCGGGGAGCTTCCTGTGCCGTCGGGGCGGGCTCGGAAGGCTTCTCAGCAGGCCAGGGGGCCTCCGGGCCTTCTGAGGAGAGGCCCGCCCCTTCTCGCGTCCCCCCCGGGCTCGCCGCCGACTCAGAGAGGGTCGACGCCCCAAGGAGTACCGCGCATGGCGGATACACGCACCGAGGTACACACGGGCGAATGCGCAACACACGAAGCGCTACGCCTGCAGCGTGCGCGATGCCGTGGCACGCCAGACAGCCTGTGACCCCGACGACGCCGCCCGCACGCGCGCGGATGTCATTTCCACGGGGACACCGCGGAGAGCGTGTGGCAGTGGCCGCTGAGATGCGCAGTGGACGCAAGAAGGCAAGACAGTGACAAGATTGGGGACACCAGAAGGTACCGATACCGCCACTCCCCGGACCTCTCCCGGGGTGCGTTCCGACCAGGATTTCGAGGCGAATCCAGCGGCGGCGACGAGGGCCTCCCAGGAGGCCCAAAACGGGGAAAACGGGCGGGGGGCAGAGGCATGGGTACCTGGTCCTCGTCTGAAAGATGGCGGAGAACCACACAATACCAAACTCGCCCATCGATGCGATCACGGTCCCGCGGCAGTCGCTGCTGGATGGCGCTCCGGCCATGCGGCTCCCGCGCCGAGCCCTCTCGACAACAGTGGCCCTCCCCCTGCGACGGCCGGCCGGGCTCGCCCGCAGCGGCACCGAGGGGAAGGCCAACAGCCAGCGGATGCAGCCGCAGACAGACTGCGGCCGGGAACTGGTGCTTCGCGCATCGCGGCGGCACTGGCGGCACGCTGTGCCCCGCAAGCTGATGGCGGAGGCTCTGAAGAAGCTCGAGTACTTTAGTAGTGGAAGCATCTTTTTGGAATGTTTGGTCTTTAGAAGCTCTGCGTGGCGACGCCCCCGTCGCCACGCGTGCCCTCTGCGTGCCTGCGGGGGCGCCGCCACGTACAAGTATTGGAGACCGAGCATTTGGGGCGTCGCTACGCACGCCCTCTGCGTGGCTGCGACGATTTGTTAAAACCCTAAAACCAATTAAATTCACTGCTGAAGTATCTGAGCGGCACGCAAGATGGCGGCACCACGGAATCTAATACTTGGCGCCCGTGTCGCGCAGGAACCAGTCCCCGTCCGAATGCCGTCGCCAAAAGCAACCTCCGCGAGGATCTCCAGGAATGGGGAAGCACTGCCATTCCCCAGGGTCGTTCTCGCGGAACCAATCCGTGCACGACGACCCTCATGTGCTAGGGGTGGGACGGCGTGTAACATGGTTTACCGTTCCTCCTTCGTGCTTGTTTACTTCCCTTCCCAGGACGCTCAAAAACCTGCTCGAGGGGGGTGGGGCAGGTGTGGGGAGGTGCGGAATTCTACGAACAATAGTCCGACCTCTGAGAAGTTCTCCGAAGTGCTCGCCAGGCCCTAGATACACTCGGTCATGGGGCAATACTGCCCCCAGACCGCCCAGGATGGCCCAGCCTCCACCCTGGCCCCCGAGTGGGCACGGGAAGCACAAAGAAGGCCCAAGATGGCTCCGATGGGGGCGCCCTGAAGGCAAACAACGTTCGAATCATCTGAACGAAAGCAAGGCACGTACGATGATAAACCCACGACGTCTCCAACAGAACCTCTGTTAGCCTCCGAGAGGGCCCACGAAGCTCCCAATTGCCCCCGAATCGGCCCCAAGATAATCCTCCAAAGGACCCAATCCAGAAGGCCCCAAGAGGGCCATCAGGGGGGTAACACGAGAACACCCCGCAACGTCCTCAAGATCCTAGCTAGCCATGAGCAGCTCCCCTACGCGACCTCCTTGCAAGAAGAAGGGCAGTCCTTGCGAGGCAATGACCTCTTCTTCTGCTGTTGTGATCATCCTCATCCTCATGCTCCATCACCTTCTCCTCCTCCTCCTCCTCCTCCTCCTCCGCCTCCTCCTCCTCCTTCGCCATCTCTACCTCCTCCTCCTCCTCCTCCTCCTCCTCCTCCTCCTCCTGCTCCTCCCCCCATCCTCCTCCTCCTCCTCCTCCTCCTCCTCCTCATCCTCCTCATCCTCCTCATCCTCTTCCACCTCCTCCTCTCCCTCCTCCCTCGCCTCCTCCTCCTCCTCCTCCTCCTCCTCCTCCTCCTCCACCCATCATCCTCCTCCTCCTCCTTCCTCCCCTCTCCCCTCCTCCTCCCTCCTCCCATATCCTCCCCCTCCTCCTTCCTCCTCCACCCCCCCCTCCTCCTCCTCCTCCTCCTCCCTGCTCCTTCTTCCTCCTCCTCCTCCGCTCCTCCTTCCTTCGCCATCTCCTCCTCCTCAGCTTCTCCTCCTCCTCCTCCTCCTCCCCTCCTCCTCCTCCTCCTCCTCCTCCTCCGCCCCCCCTCCTCCTCCTCCTCCTCTCCTCCTCCTTCCTCCTCCTCCACCACCTCCTCCTCCTCCTCCTCCTCCTCCTCCCTCTCTTCCTCCTCCTCTCCTCCTCCTCCCTCCTCCCTCCTCCTCCGCCTCCGCCTCCGCCTCCACCCCCCTCCTCCCCCCTCCTCCTCCTCCCTCCTCCTCCTCCTCCCCTCCTCCTCCTCCCATCCTCCCCTCCTCCTCCTCCTCCTCCTCCTCCTCCTCATCCCCTCCTCCTCCTCCTCTCCTCCTCCTCCTCCTCCTCCACCTCCCCCTCCTCCTCCTCCTCCTCCTCCTCCTCCTCCTCTTCCTCCCTCTCCTCTCCACCTCCTCCTCCTCCACCCCTCCTCCTCCTCCCTCCTCCCTCTCATCATCCTCCTACTTGTCCTCCTCCTCCTCTGCCGCCTCCTCCTCCTCCTCCTCCTCCTCCCTCCTCCTCCTCCTCCTCCCCTCCCTCCTCCTTCTGCCCCCCCCCCCCTCCCTCGCCTCCGCCTCCTCCGCCTCCTCCTCCTCCTCCTCCTCCTCCTCCTCCACGTCCTCCTCCATTCGTTTTCCTTATCAATAGCTTCTCCCTGTCGCCACCCGAAGCCAGCTTTCAGGGCGTGCCGGGCGTTTCGCCTGAGACGCCCTCGCCATTTATGACTCTGAAGATCAAAAATTGGCAACAGCTTCACAGATGGAGGGCGGGTCGTTTTCAAAATGAGGCTCTCGCCTCAGCGCCGCTTATACTCATTCTAAAAATGCGCAAAAGCTTCACGAATTGAGGGGCACCCGTTTTAAAAATGTGGCTCTCGCCATAGCGCCGCGCACATTCGTTCTAAACATGTGCGATAGCTTCACGGATTGAGGATAACTCGTTTTCAAAATGTGGTTCTCGCCTTAGCGCCGCGCACAGTCTTTTTTAAAAAAGAGAACCATATGTAAGAGTTTCACGGGTTGAGGGCGGTTCCTTTTCAGCATGTGGCTCTCGCCCTAACGCCGCTCACATTTGTACATAACACGTGCAAGAGGTCCACGGATTCCCACGAGCAACGTACCAGAAATGGTGTTTGGGACAGATTCCGGATTTTGCGGGCGCAGCAGTTACGTTGATTGACGGTGCTGCAATCCCACGAATGGCGTTCTGGCACGATCCAGGATCGTCAAGACGCAACAGTCAGGTTGATGCGTGGCGTTCGCTGGAATCCCGAGAACAATGTTTTGGCATGCTTCCGGGTCTTCAAACGGTTGTCTTCCAACGAGGCAAATCCCTTAATGCAAATGAACCGTTGACGGGCCTATGAAGAGGGAACTTGCAGTGAGGGTGTACTCCAACATCGTTGATGGCTCTTGGGTTTACACTGGTCCTCCTCCTCCTCCTCCTCCTCCTCCTCTTCTCCCTTCGCCCCCCCGCCTCATCCGTGACCTCAACTACCCGTCCCTTCCCGTTTCTGCTCCTCCCCTCACTTGTCCTGCCTGGGGTCATGAGCGCCCTGGGGCAGCGCCAAGGCCCTCGTGTCGGCGGAATGGCGCGCATGAGCCTCGGCGATCAGAACGGTACCACCAAATCCCAGCATCGTCACGATACTTCTGCCAAGCGGCTTCGGGCGATCCGCCAGCAGCGGCGACCTGGCCTGGCAGTGACTGTGCCGCCTCCTGGTGCCCCTGCTCGTCGGCGCACCGTCCCGCGTCGTCCTCGAGGAACCAGTTGCTGTCGTCCTTGTACCACCAGTAGCCACCCCGAGAGCCCACAGTGAGGCGAAAGCGCTGCCACTCCCCTGGGCTGTCCTCCCGGAACCACTCGTTGTCGTCCTTACAGAGCCCCCCCCCAACAAAAAAGCATCATTATGAGCACCCCGACAAGCGAAGCCGTTTAGCCAACGCGCCCAAACGGAGGAACCGAGCAGGGTAGGGCTGTGTGGTAAAGGCCCAGGGCCGCTTAGCGAGCGCCACTTGCGAGGGTCGGGGTGGTTTTTCCTCCCTCAAGCCTTGTACCACCACATCGCCCCCTCCCCGTCTCGGTACTTCTGCCAGGGCCTGTCGGGCGCCACGGGCGGTTGCGGCTTCGGCGCAGCGCCGGCCGCAGCGAGGTGACCCGGCAGCCTGTACAGCGCCCTCAGGTGCCCCTCCTCGCCGACGCGGTAGTCGTAGAGGACTCCCAGCGGGCCACCTGGGCGCTGGCTCGCCCCCAGCTCGGCTTCGGACGCGGTCGACCCCGCCGCGGGCCAGGGCCCAGCAGCGCCGGCCTCGGACGCGGCGGCGCCCGGCCGCACCTCCGCTGCAGCTGCAGCGGCGCCCGCGGCCGCTGCGGCCGCGGCGGGGCTCGGCGCTCGCGCGGCTGCGGCGGGGCCCGTCGTCGGCCCCGCCGCGTCGGCGCCCATCGTGGGGCCCGTGCTGGTCGCGGGCAGGGCGGCGGCGGCTGCGGCGGAGGCTGCGGCGGGGGGGCGCCCGGCCGCGGCGCTGCTCGCGCTGCTGCCGGCGGCACGCAAGGGTGACCCTGGGCAAGAGTGATCTTTGCTGCGCGGCTTCTGGGGGCCGCGGGAACGCCGCCGGTGCTGTGTGGGGACCCCTGGTGGGCCCGCCTCCCAGACCCCCGACGTCATGAATTTTTCATGACGTCGACACCCAGAGGTCCAGACACATTCCCCGGGACCGGTTTTTCGTCCTGAGTCGTTTTTTGACGGTCCCAAGGGCCGGTAAGGGCCCCCAAAGGCCGAAAATCATGAAAAACCTCGCGTCGTGATTTTTTCATAACTCGAGGGGGTCTGGGATCGGAGGTCACTCTGGCCAAGGGCCCCTCTTACGCGCAGCAGACGCTGCTCTGGCTGTGGGTCTCGGTTCCGCCTCCGCCGGGGGCGGCCTCCCGCCGTGGGGGCGCCTCCGTCTGCGACCTTGAAGCGGCCCTCTGCGCTGCCGCGTGGTCCATCTCGCCGTCGGCCTCCAGCGGCTGGAGCGACCGGCGCACTGCCTCTGCGAGCCAGCGCTCCTCCTCCTCCTGGGCCTGGAGCGACTGGCGCAGGGCGTCGTCGATCAGGCGCGCCTCCTCCTCGGGCGACCGGGGCGCGAGCTTCCCGAGGCGGCTGCCGCCCACGACGAGAGCTGCCCCGGCGAAGCGATGCGCAGAAGACACGACAAGTATCCACATCATTTCGCTGTGGGGCCAGGGAATCTATCACGCTCGCCCATGACCGTGCCTGCGCAGCATAGTGTGGAGGTGGCATGCTGCTAAGTACCGTCTGCCACTGGATGTAACACGCATGATAACGCACGCCCCCCCCCCTCCCCCTCCCAAGGCTCCATGGCCAACCAATGACGCGGAGTCGGCCGCATCTTCGATCAGAAGCAGCCAGAATCATTTACACGGTGCTGGGCACTGCAAGACGGTGTTGGGCATCTTTCTCGGCCTGCGAGCGCCACAACGTGCTTGCGAGCATGACGCGGTGCTCGCGACCACCAGGCGGCCAAGGACGCCAGACCCTGCCAATATACTCCAATAGTGCGTGAGAGCCAGGCGTGTGCGCAACAACCTGCCGGACCCTTCAAGTGCCGGTGTCGCAATAGCCCGCGAACGCCGCATCAGGATCGTGAGCACGGGCAAAATGCCAGTGCTCACGCACAGCACAGCATCCTTGCTTCTTGCAAGGGGTAATGTTTGCAGTGGCAAGATGCTCGCGAACACGAACAGAACACACTACCCTGCGAGCTTGCGAGCAGCGCAACAGCCTGCGAGCACTGCTGCAGCCTGCGAGCGCCGCACCACAGTGCAACCTGCGAGCACCATCGCAGGCGCTAAGAACCTTAGGGATACGCATTCAGAGATCGGCACCGAGATTCGGAGATGTAAACCATAGGGATAGGGAAATGTTTCAGGCTGGTAAGGGGTGGGCGTTATTTTGTATTTTTTGTTTGGGGGGGGGGGAGCGTTGCGCTATTGGGGAAGGGGTGGGCGGTGGGGGAAGGGCTATAACGCTCGTTATCGCCCGGGCCTTGAATCAAGACGCACTCGTTTGCCCAGCACATGGCGCAAGGGAAGCCTGCTACTGCCTCGTGGCCCTCCCCGGGCACGCGCCCACAACGGCCCCGACACCTCCTACAGCACGGCTCGCCCCGCAGGCGGCGCGACGACCCCGAGCACAACCGACATGGCACAGTTACTGAGCGTCCAGTGCGCCGACAAGAAACCCTGCAGCAAGGACCAGCCAAGGAGAGAGTAAAACCATCGAACACAATGCACGGTTGCGCCAGCCATCGTGAACGGCGCAGACATACATCAAGCTGGCCTCGGGGCAGCCTTCGGGCCACCGTTGCCGTGGTGATCCTAGATGTCCCCAAGACCACAAGGCAACGACCCAAGACAACATGCCCAAGACCTTCCCCCGAAGGTCTTCCAAAATTAGCTCGGGGCACTATGCGCTCATCCCCCCTTTCCACCTCTCGCCCCACCATCCGCCATACAAGTTTTGCAGACCAAAACACATTGAGCGTAGGTCATGGGTCGCGTGGCTCTGCGAGAGGGCTCATCTGGGCCAGAATGCGGCGTGTCATGCACTTTCCGTGCTCTTTTGGAACCCGCTGAAAGACACCAATATGAAACGCCTTTCGGCGAACCCACGCATCCGAAAACGAGGTGATGCTGTCCCACCAACTTGTCACACGTCACCCGATGCGAAGTCGAAGCTAGCATGACCCTAGCGCGGTACATCACCGACGTCCACCAAACGCTCGGAAGCAGATGGGCCCGGATCTCCTGATGGGAGCTGGCGAGAGAGTTCTCCACCGCCGTCGCGATGTCTGCATCCATCTCCTCTGCTCCGTTGGGGGCGCCACTCCCCGGAGCTCGCGCGGCAGCGCCGCTGTCTGCCGCAGTGGCAGCCCGCGGCCCGCGGTCCTCGCGGGGTCGGCCGCCGAGGCGGACTCCGGGACCAGGGAACGGAAGCGCGGGCGGTGCGCCCCCGGCCTCGTGCAGGCCCCGAGGGCGGCCCCCGCCGTGGCTGCCGCTGCTGCTGCCACCGCCGCTGTGGTCCTGGAAGTAGCGGAGGCAGATCGTGTGCAAGAGGCTGCCCGCGTCGAAGACGGTGTGCCTGCCGGACTTGGAGCGGACGGCGAAGGCCGTCCTCTCCTTCTCACCCGCCTCCGTCGTCAGGCGCTCGGCCATGTGCGCCTTCTTGCCCTGCCGCGGCTGCACGGCTGCGGGCCGCACCAAGGACGGCGGGCCCCCGCGCATGTTCATACGCTCCTGGGCCAACGCTTCGTACAACTCGACACGGATGGTCCCCAGATTGGGATCCGCCGGACCGCCCGTCACGACTGGAAACCTGAACCTGAACGGCGCAATGTCGTAAGCCTCCTGGAACCAATCTGCGTCGATGTCTTCGACGATCCTCGCCACGTCCCAGCCTTTCACCCGCAGCTTCCCCGGGTTCAAGCTGCGCGCGAACCTCGGCTCCAGGAACACTGGATGGCCGTCGACGAACACCTTGGCCACAACAGTAGATCCGCCCGGCCCGTCGAATCCCAACACAATGCTATAGAGGGTCCCTGGGCGCCCGCGCACGAAAAAGCCATGGTCGTCGGACAGTCGTTCCAGCACATGGCCGTCGACGAGAACGTCCACAGAAAAGGGCGTGTCGTCCATTCACGGCGGCCTATTGGGACGACACTTCCGTGCCGCGACCGCCTGGGCCGCTCCTGTGAAGCTTGAGCAAATACTCTGTCGCGGCCCTACGAAAGAGTTGTGTAATACCTGTGCGGGTGAGCGCGCCCGTGTGGCCTTATGAACGACATCCCAGTTTGAACGATGTTCTTCTTCTTCTTCTTCTTATTCTTCTTCTTTCTCTTCTTCTTCTTCTTCTTCCAACCCCCTTCTCCCCCTTAGGGGAGAGGCTCGCCCCTCCCCCTATCCCCTCTCTCTGGACCTGGGCGGGGGCTCCCGCGACCCATCGGAGAATCCAAGATGGCCTCGGCGAGAAGGCAGCAATCATTGTTTTTTTTATAAAAAAAATTATGGCTACTTGTTGGCTTCCGGGGAGAGGGGGGCTGTAATTTACTAACCCCCCCTTCTGTGATCGATCTCCTCCAAGGTGGCCCCAAGGTGGCACCTGAGGCTCACAAGCGTGCCCCTAGAGGACACCAAGAGGCGCCCAACAGGCCCCAAGAGGCCTCCTAAAGGTCCCCAAGAGGCCCCCGAAGGACCCCTGAGAGGCTCCAAGAGGCTCCGAGGCACACAAGACGCGCCAAGAGGCCCCCCAGGACCGCCCAGAGGTCCCCAAGACGCTCCAAGAGGATTCACATAAGCATCCAATGGATATCCGAAGACACTCCGAGAGGCATCCAAGAGGCCTCTGGCGATTCTGCTCGCCCTCCTTCTCCTGCTCCTCGTCATCCTCCTTCCTCATCCGCCAATTCCTCCTCGTCCATTCTCGTCCCTCCTCCGTCCCCCCCCCCTACCCTTCCCCCTCCTCCTCCTCCTCCTCCTCCGATTCCTCTTCCATTGTCCCCCTCTTCCGGTATGACGGACCACATCTCCTCAGCAAGGCAGCCAGTGCATCTAGACGATACGATCCGGCAAGTGCGGCATTATGGAGCTTTCATGCACTCGGGCTCCAACATGTTCCCCTCGCACACACACAACCACACACGCACACACACACACACACACACGATTCCGAACGAAAGCATGCAACTAGATCCGCTGGCCCTCCTGCGGGGCCACCAGGCTGCGCTGCCTGAGGCTTCCTGCAACCTTGCAAATTCTTCCTGCCCGCCCGAGGGGGGGAGCCGAAAAGCAATCGGCTGCCACGCCAGAGCCGCGTGCTCTAAATTGCAGGGGGGGGCCCAGAGCACACACACACAAAATACATCAGATTCGCGCCCCCGAGGCAATCATCACTTGCACATTACGCAAGAGTCGCGCCCCGGAGATCTGAATCTTCGTAGAATGCATCAGAATACGTGGCGCTCCCGAGGCCAGTAGCCGCAATGCATTATTCCAGATTCGCGCTCACAAGACCATCATGCTTGGCAAATTACGCAAGAGTCGCGCTCCCGAAACTAGAATCCGGTTCAATTGCTCAAAATTCACGGTCCGAATCACTAAATCCGATGCAAGCGCACCAAAGTCGCGCTCCCGACATCATAATCCCTTGCGGATTACTCCGCGTTCGCGCTCCCGATGGCAGAACTCATGTCAACTTAATACAGATTCGCGCTTCGAAGGCCAGAACAATTTCAAACTTACTCCAGATTCGCGCTCCCGACGCCAGAATCCTTTGTAATGTATGCCAGCTTCGCGCTCCAGGCCAGATCCTCTGATACATTACGCCAGCTTCGGGTTCTGAAAAGGGAACCCAGCGTTCAACAACAACTCCAACATCTCAAGCCGCTTGCCGAATGCCAATCGTCCTCGCATGATGTTCCCCGGAAATTTCATAACAGCGCCGACACGTCCCGGCTCAGCTCGGACATCCCAATTCCAGTACAGACAGAGGCTAGAGTTAAGTCGGGCCTGTCCCACTACAGGGGGATTCTGGGCGAAAACTTAGGAATACCCCCAAAATACCCAAAAATAATCAAAACATATTCAAAACATCGTCCCCAGACTATTCCTGTAGAGGGACAAGCCCGACTTAAGGCCAGAGGCAGACGGCGAAGCTGTCACGGATGATGTGTGCGTGTGACTCCAAGAAGTGCCGCCCTTGTTCTGAACAGGCGTCTCCCCGACGCCCAGAGACGCCAGCCAAGGCTGTGACTCAGTCGCATCTGGATGCACAGGGGAATCGAAGCATACAGCGCCCTGAAGCTCCCAGACCGACTGCAAATATACAGTTATACGCCGTGGAGAGTCTCACCATTATGATGTAAGGCATGGCACCCTGGCGGATTCAGAAGCACTACAACATGCTTGGACCGCTGAAGGTCAACCACGCAATTCACAATGATCATGTGCACGTGGCTCCTACACAAACACATCTGCTCATAGGCATTGCGCCACGCATGCATGAGAAACACATGACGATACAGCATCTGGCCCACAAGAAATAAAACTCGAAACCACACTCATTGATGTTATACGGGGAGCCTTAGTACGCCCCAAATACGGCCACCAAGACTCCAACTGGTCTCAAGTCGAACACAAGGGGGCCCCAGACCTCGAGACGCCCCACTGCCAGATCCGAAAAGGCCCGGGAAGGCTCCGAGATATCCAGAATAGGGCCTCAATGCAACAACAATAGTTTGCAATGCCCCCATGGCGTCTTGCACAAGACACTGAAACGAGATAGCATGCTGACTCGCGAGGACCACTCCGCTGGTCCCCTCATTCAGCGCAATTGTGCAGCACCCTAGGAGGGTGAGATCCTATGTGGATCTATGTGGCACAGCGCTCCACTGGATCCTCCCAGAAGCGCACCAAAGCGGCGACGGTTGCATGCCCTGCTGCACCCGTGGGATGACGAGGCCTCGTTCTGATCTGCATACACCGCGCTCTGGTCAGCTGCATGCTGTGCAGCAGCCAGGAAGGGCGAGGCATCTGTCTGATCTACGTGGCACTGCACTCCACTAGATCCCGCAGGGGCGATGCAAGATAGCGACGGCTCCACGCTTTGCGGCACCCATTGCAAGGGGGAGGTCTCGTTCTGATCAGCGGAGCACCGCACTCTTCTGACCCCACAGACGCGCAACAACGTGGCGACGTTTGCACGCTCTGCAGCACCGAGGGGTGGCAAGTCCTAACCGCGTTCTGCCTGGCACCATACCCCGCTTGGCATCCAGGGTAAACACAGCAAGCAGCGACAGCTATACGATAACGACGTCGAATGTGGATCTGCGTAACACTTTACTCCGCTTGTCAGACTGATGACAGCTGCGCGCGTTGCAACTCCGAGGGGCGCGTGGTCTCATTCTGATCTGCGCAGCACCGCACCCTAGTGGACTTCCCCAAAGAAGCGCACCAAAATGGCAACAAGTGAGCGCTTTGCACATCACACACGTTGGCGAGATCTCCTGCGAATCTGGATAGCACCGCTCTCTCTGCTGGACGATGGTGACGATTGCACGCTGTGCTGAGCCCAGCGAGAGCGGGCGAGGTCTCATTCTCATCTGCGCATCGCCGCCCTCATCTGACCCCACGGTGTGCAGCAGAGAGGCGGCAGCTGCGCGCTTTGCAACGCCAGGGTAGGGCAAGAACTCTTTCTCCCCTGCGGCAGCGCGTGGCACCGCACCCCTGGACCCCTCGGCGACGCAGAACCCCGAGGCAGCCGCAATATCAGAGACAGCTGCAAGCTTTCCAGCGCAGAAGGGCGGCATGTCTCGCCTGGATCTGCTGGCCACCCCGGCGGAACGCAAAAACAGGCGGCGGCCCTGATCAAGGAGCCCCCCTTCTTTGATCGATCTCCTCCAAGACGGCTTCGAGATGGCCCCAAAGGCTCCCAAGGGTGCACCAAGACAGCCCCAAGAGGCGCCCAGAGAGCCCCAAGAGGCCCCCACGAAGCCCCCAGGGGATTCCTACGCAAGAGACCCCCATGGCAGGAGGCTCCAAGAGGTCCAGCCAGAGGGACCCAAGACGCCCCAAGGCCTCCAGGACTGCCAAGAGACTCCCAGAGACGTCAAAGAGGCCTCTGGCCTTTCTGGTCGCCCTCCTCCTCCTCCTTCTTCTCCACCTCCTTCTCCTCCTCCTCATCCTCCTCTTCCTCATTCGCCTGTTCCTCCTCATTCCTCGTTACTCCTCCTCCTCCCCCTCTCTCTCCTCGTCCCCCTCTTCCTCCTCTTTCTGCTCCGATTCCTCCCCCTATCCTCCCCCTCTTGGGGTATGACGTCTTACCCAACCCGTCATTCTACTGCACTCAACTCCACATCCCTGATCCGGGCAACTCGTCCTGGGCAACTCGTCGGGGCATCGTTCCTGGATAGGAAGGTGGGGATTGGAATATGCAACGCTTGTGGTGCGACATATGTTGTGCTGTATATGATGTGCAGTACATGCTGTGCAATATACACAATTCAAGACATGTGGGACAATCTATTACAGACATGCGTGCACCGTGCAACCTACGTGATGCTAGATCGATATACAAACACGAATATATCTATATATATGTGTATATACACATCTGTAGCGAGAGACATAGTTGTGCAATATGTGTGGTGCAATTCATGTAGTGCCACATATGTGGTGCAAGGGATGGTGTGCAACATAGGGTGTGCAATCTATAGACATATGTCTATACAAATGGATGTTGTGCACTACATGCGCGACGAAATTGATGTGGTGTAACCTAGGTGGTGCCATTGATGTGGTGTTCCAGCTGTGGTCAATCTATGTGGCACGACCAATGTAGTTCAATCTCTGTGGTGCAACACATGCCATGTAATCTAGATTGTGTCAACTATGTGGTGCGATCTATGTGTCGCAATACCATGAAGATATCTAGGTAATCTACGTGGTGCAATATCACAAAGCGGCGACGAGGCGGCGACGGGGCGGCGCCGGCGACAAAATTGCTGCCAGACCGCCACACCGGCCCAGACGACGGGCGGCGACACGGCGGCGACGGGGCGGCGACGGCGGCAACATTGCTGGCAGACCGCCACACCGGCCCAGTTCGTGAGAGCAGAAGTAAAAAGAAACCTAAGTGCAAACACTGTTTGGGGATCATTAATGTTGATGTCCTCCTTTCGGTGCACCTTCTGTGTTGCCAATTGAAATGCTCCTCATGGGGCCCGCACATTAACTTGTACCAAGACTGCCTCATACTTCCTCACATGTTCTTCCACATCGCGCTCTCGCTCTGGATTTTTTCTCGATGTGCCAAAAAAGTCGCACTCTCGCGAAGTCCGCCCTCACGATTTAATGTGACGCCGCGCCCTCGACACTCAGGAATCATTCTCTCGCCATGGACTTCGTCTTCCTGGCAATCCATGCAGGGACTGACGCTTCAACCACCCGCCCGCTCGACCCCGCCTTCTGCGCCCGCCCGCCCGACACGCTTCGCCCCCGCCGCCCGTCTGGTTCTGCCGCTTGTTTTTTTTCTGACCCTATATACCCTACTCCTGGTAATCCCTGTCGTGCTCCATCGGTCCATCCTTCTCTCTCCCCGTTGTCACTCCCCTCCTCCCTTCCGCTCTGTTACGGGACGCGCACTACACGTGGCAGGCAAGGAAAATATGCGGGTCATGATCGACGGCGAAGAGGGCGGGTATCAAGGGCTTGTGATAACATGTGGAATGACACGCGAGCAGAAACCACAGCGAGCAATCTGACAACGGTTGTTGTTGTTGTTGTTGTTGTTGCGAGCAACTTTTTCACGTGCTTCGAACTTCTCCAACAACGGTTGCGCACCTGCCAGGGCCATCATCCCTGTCAAATAATACCATGCGGGACACATTCGTTTTTTTCTTCGCGCGCGCACGCCGAAATCTAAAAAAACCATTGGGTTTCTTAGGAATGTTAGCACCGCGCAACATAAAATCATACGAATCGCACCGTAGGTCCTCGAAAACCAACTGTACGAAGTTTCAAAATTTGGGGCCAGTATGGCAAGTATGGCAAGTATGGCAAATATGGCAATTATGGCAAGTATGGCAAGTATGGCAAGTTTTCAAATTTCTTCCATCCTCGAGATGGCAAGTATGCTGGGGCCAGCCCGCCGGCCCCAGCAGTCCATATCATTGTAGGACCTACAGACAGTACCGGCGTCGTACTGGTTTACCGTGGTTTCCTATTCTAGCGTCAGGAACACGTTACCACCAAAAACCAGTACAGGTGTCCAGTGTTGGAACAGGGGGAAAAGTCGTATACTAAGCTAGCGTCCAGAAAATGTTACCACAACAAGTCACTGTACCCATGCGCCAGTGTAGTAGCCACGGTCGTCCGCAGGCCACGAAGTGAAGTGTCCGAACGTCATAGGGCGGGAAGCTGGGTGTGGGTGGTGGCGAAGAGTCGTTTGGAAATGTGGTAGAGCTTGAACCGGCCCCCCCACAAAGTGGGGGTATTGGCGGGCGTCGTATGAAAACCCTGGCACTGGTGAGAACGGAGTGTCCCCACGTGCTAGTAATTGTTGTTGTTGTTGTTGTTGTCGTTGTTGTTGTTGTTGTTGTTGTTGTTGCCGTCGTCCTCGCCCATGACCCACCCCACGACCCCACCCGCAACCCAACCCGCGACCCTCCCGCGACCCACCCGCATAGGTTTGCCGAAGACTCGGCGCCTGCGGCTGGCACGTTACGCCGTGTGTTAAAGCATCGGCGCCGGCGGCGGGGCTCCTGCCGAGCCTCGCAGACTGCCGACGGCCCTGCCGCCCCCTCACTCGGATCCGCACCCGCGCGAGGTGCTACGTATGAGATTAATGTGCACTGCAAACTTGCAGGAAGAAGCGAATCGGAGGGAGAAGAGAGGCGGCACGTGAGTGGAGAGGGGCAGGGGGTATGGGGGAGCAGCGACTACTGCTGGGACGAGGGCACGGGCAAACAGGAGACGGGAAGAATTGGAGGATTAGGCTTATAAGGACGAGGGCGACTGAGGAGAAGAGACGGCGGATGTGGAATGGGAGGAGGAGGAGGAGGAGGAGGAGGAGGAGGAGGAGGAGGAGGAGGAGGAGGAGGAGGAGAGGGAGGAGGAGGAAAAGGAGGAGCACAAGAAGTGGGATGAGTCGGAAGAGTTTGGAGTGGGAGGCAGCATCAGGGGAGGAGAATGACAAGGGGGAGGAGGAGGAGGAGGAGAAGGAGGAGGAGGAGGAGGAGGAGGCGGCGGAGGAGGAGGAGGAGGGGAGGGGGAGGGGGAGGAGCAGGAGGTTGAGGAGAAGGAGGAGGAGGAGGAGGAGGAGGAGGAGGAGGAGGAGGAGGGGAAGGGGGAGAGAGAGGAGGATGGATGCATGGGTCCTCATCAAAGAGACCTCGGCGGCCGTCTGCAAGCAGACGACCGCCAGGGCCCCAGCTGTCGAGTCAAGCGTCGCCGCCGCCCACTCGCGACAGCGCCAGGCGCCCGGCGACGAGGGGGCCCCGAAGCAGCCGCGCCCAGCGCGAAGACCAGGGTCACCCGACGCGCGGCCCCGCTCAGTCTGGGGCCATCTTGCGCCTGGGCCTGCGACTCGGCGCCGACGGCGCAGCCTCCGCACCCTCGGCCTTGGCGAGGCACGGCCAGCTCTGCCTCGGCACGTTCGCGGCTCCGCAGCCGCGGCTCCTCCTGGGGGCCGTCCCGCGCGGTGCTCGCCACGGAGCCCCGGACACACGCTGCCCGACACCGGTGAGCCCGAGGGGGGAGGGGCGAGGCTGGCGTATGGCGCGACAGACCACGATGCCCACCACCTTGTCGCCTTTGGCCAGCGTCGCCGCCCCCGAGCGCACCTCCACGGGTGGTGCATCTCCTGGCTCCTCCACGACCGCGGCCGCGTCGCCGGCCGAGCGCACGAACTCCACGTTCAGACTGCCGACGTCGTCGGCGCCGTGGGGCCCCACGTCCGAGCCGACCGCGGACCGCTTCAAGCTCGCGCCGTCCTCCAGCTGGGGGGCAGGTGGGACTGGCGCAGTGGGCCACGGGCTCCGGCTGGTCGTCGGCTGCGGATCCAGCGCGAACCCCATCTCCACGAACTCCCCCGCGTTCACCTCCAGCTCCTGGGGGGGTCTCGGGCGGCACCGCGCGCACCTCCCGCGATTCCCCGAGCTTGTCCTCCTGGTCGATATCTGGTCCTCCGTCTGCGTGCCCATCTCAACGGACAGCGAGCCCGCCGACTCCGTCCCCGAGCCGATGCCGAGCTGCTCCACCGCTGCCGCGGAGCCCGCGCCGATGGAGAAACCGTCTTTCACCTGCTCCTGCACGCTGTCGGTCGCCTTGGCGACGGGGGCCCCGCCGCCGCTGAGGTGAGCACGTACCTCCCTCGCCAGGTCAACGTCAGGATGGCCCCTGGCGTTGCGCGCCTTGCTGAGCCTCCCAAGGCGGGAAGCCAGCGACCGCCCCGCTGTCCTGCAGGAGGCCCTTGGCGTCCTGGACCGAGACCGGCCACTCCAGGTCCGACGCCTCGCCGACCGCGTCGAGGACCTCGGCGAGCAGCGCGATCTCGCTCTTGGGCCCCCCGCCGCAGGCCGAGGCGGCAGCACCTGCTCCGGCTGCGCCCGCAGCGGCGCCCGGGGCAGCTCCGCGCACCGCGGCCGCCGCAGCCACGGACAAGGCCTTGGTGCCGCTGTGGCCCCTGAGCGCCCCCGCCGCCTCGCCGAACGCCGCCTGGGCCACAGGCAGCGCCGCCATCCGCTCCCAAAGGTCATCCGACCCCATGGCGAAAGAGAAAGACCGCGTGAACGGCCCGCCGCGACCTGCTGGGCGCTCGCCGAGCATGAGCCAGAATGGCTACGGAGGGAGAGGGAGGAGGAGGACGAGGACGAAAAGAAGGAGGAGGATGGGAGGTGGAGGAGGAAGACCCCCCCCTGTTCACTCCATCCGCTCCCGTCCCCTCCGCCCAGCGCTCTCCCTGAGGGGTCCAGCTCTTTCACGCGCAACGCTGCCACAAGATGCTGGAGGTCACACACGGTCTTAAGGTCAGGCCCTTATGTCTGCCCGCTGCGGGGAGCCTCTTGTTGCTCATCTCTTTGCTGGCTCTCTCACCACTGCTGCTCCTGCGCATCCTGCACCTCCTCTTCCTCCTCTTCCTCCTGGTCCTCCTCCTCCTCCTCCTCCTCCTCCTCCCCCTCCTCCTCCTCCTCCTCCCCCTCCTCCTCCTCCTCCTCCTCCTCCTCCTCCTCCTCCTCCTCCTCCTCCTCCTCCTCCTCCTCCTTCCTCCTCCTCCTCCTCCTCCGCTACTCCTCCTCCTCCTCCTCCTCCTCCTCCTCCTCCCCCTCCTCCGTCCCCTCCTCCCTCCTCCTCCTCCTCCTCCTCCTCCTCCTCCTCCTCCTCCTACCCCTCGCTCCTCCTCCTCCTCCTCCTCTCCTTCCTCCTCCTCCTTCTCCTCCTCCTCCTCCTCCTCCTCCTCTCCTCCTCCTCCCTCCTCCTCCTCCTCCTCCTCCTTGTCATTATCCTCCCCTGATGCTGCCTCCCACTCCAAACTCTTCCGACTCATCCCACTTCTTTTGCTCCTCCTTTTCCTCCTCCTCCTCTCCTCCTCCTCCTCCTCCTCCTCCTCCTCCTCCTCCTCCTCCTCCTCCTCCTCCTCCTCCTCCTCCTCCTCCTCCTCCTCCTCCTCCTCCTCCTCCCATTCCACATCCGCCGTCTCTTCTCCTCAGTCGCCCTCGTCCTTATAAGCCTAATCCTCCAATTCTTCCCGTCTCCTGTTTGCCCGTGCCCTCGTCCCAGCAGTAGTCGCTCCTCCTCCTCCTCCTCCTCCTCCTCCTCCTCCTCCTCCTCCTCCTCCTCCTCCTCCTCCTCCTCCTCCCCCTCCCCCTTCTCCCCGCGGAGTGCCCTGGGGGGGAGACGGAGCTGCAGCAGGAGGGCAGGGGCAGGCTCCGGAGAGGAACCCCGCGGGGCGCACCCCTGCAGCGCGCTGGGGGGCTCGGAGGTGAGGATGCAGCGGAAGTCCGGGTGCGAGAACTCCTGGGGCCGGGGCCAGGGGCGCGAGCGAGCGAACCCTCCTCCTCCTCCTCCTCCTCCTCCTCATCCTCCTCCTCCTCCTCCTCCTCCTCATCCTGGTTCACTCGGTGGGTCCCCGCGCACGGCTCGCCGCGCCTCGGAACCCTGGCCAGGAGGTGCCCCGGCAGAGGTCGGGGGACAGCCTCTGGGCAGCTTCGGCTTCGAGGTCGCAGCTGTCAGATCGACCCTTTCGGCCCAAGGCCTTTGGCCCTCCTCCTCCTCCCCCTACTCGTCCTCCTCCTCCTCTTCCTCTTCCTCCTCCTCTTCCTCCTCCTCCTCCTCCTCCTCCTCCTCCTCCTCTGCTGGGTCACTCGGAGGGCCCCCGCGCACGGCTCGCCGCGCCTCGGAACCCTGGCCAGGAGGTGCCCCGGCAGAGGTCGGGGGACAGCCTCTGGGCAGCTTCGGCTTCGAGGTCGCAGCTGTCAGATCGACCCTTTCGGTCCAAGGCCTTTGGCCCCCGCACTCCGCCAGACTAACCTGCCCTTTCGGGTCCCCTCTTCCTCCTCTTCGTCCTCTGTCCTGATCCGTCCTGATCCTCCTCCTCCTCCTCCTCCTCCTTCCTCCTCCTCCTCCTCTTCATACCCTCCTCCTCCTCGCTCCTCCTCCTCTCCGCCTCCTCCTCCTCCTCCTCCTCTTCATCCACCTCCTCCTCCTCCTCCTCCCCCTCCTCCTCATCCTCCTTATCCTCCTCCTCCTCCTCCTCCTCCTCCTCTTCCTATTGCTGCCCTTCTGTAGCAAGCCCGCGCTTGCAAGAAGCATGTCGCACGACACTCGCGAGCACCAAATACTGTCGCCGAGGACAAGACCCGAAGCAGACGCAGGGAGTTAAGGTAAGGGGGTGCAGGCCCATGCCGAGGAGACGTAAGACTCGGGTTCTGGCGACTCGGCTTGGCCTGACGGGGCCATCATGTAATTGACAAGACCCCTATACGAAATGTGACGCGAGCTCCCGCTGCAAACATCCCACGAAAGCTGAACACTAAAAATACAGGACGCCCTCGTCAAGCAGCGTCGGCAAATTCAAGTTCCAGCGTGCTCGAGTGCTGCGTTTCCCCGACCATGGAGTTCTGGATCGGCTTTCGTGCTGCGACCGGGGCAGGCCGTGCGGTCTCATCTCCTGCATTCGCCGGGCCAGCGGCCACGCGAAGCAGCCACACGCACACACCCGAGTCTCTTGCCGCCCCTCCCACAGAACCCTCTCGGGCTTGCAGCTCCGCCCTGCCGCTGTCGAAGCTGCAGGGTGCGCCCCGAGGGAGCGCCTCGCCGGCACCCGCCGCGCCCGGCTGCATGCACGGGGAGGGCTGGAGGCGAGACCACGGCCACGGAGGGGCCCGAGGAACAGCGGGACCCTCTCGGGCTTGCGGCTCCGTCCCGCCACCGTCGAAGCTGCACGGGGGCGCCCCGAGGCGCGGCCCCCGCGAGGCTGCAGCCCACGCAGCCGCCGCCAGGTGACGCCAAGATCGGGAACGGGAGGGGGCTCTCCTCACCACGGCGAGCCTGGGCCACGGAGGGGCTCCCCCGCCCTACAGTGGAGGCTAGTCCACAAGAAACCTGTCACAAGGAACCCAACCCTTACCCCCAGGACGTCCACTGATTTTTGTGGTGGGGACGTCGCGCTGTCCATCGCGAAAACCATCGAAACCCAAGAAACCCAGGGCACCCTGGAGGCAACCAGGGTGTTTCTTGGCATGGGTCTCCACTGTAGGTCTTCGGGAACGGCCCCAAGGCCAGAGCGCCTCCGGAGCCCGACGCGGTCAAAGATGCCGGAGGTGTGCTGGCAAAGCCGACGGGAGGAGGAGGAGGAGGAGGAGGAGGAGGAGGAGGAGGAGGAGGAGGAGGAGGGGGAGGAGGAGGAGGAGGAGGAGGAGGAGGAGGAGGAGGAGGAGGAGGAGGAGGGGAGGAGTAGGGGGAGGCCCAGCGCGTGCTGCCGCACCGCCGCATGCCTGCGCACGGCAGCGGCGACGCGCGCCGTGGGGCCAGCGGAGGAGGCGCCGTCGTCGACGTTGTGGCGCCAGCAAAGCAGCGCGAGGCGGCACGATCGTAGGTTTGCGGTCGAGGTGCTGACAGGCGGAGCGCCACACGAGGAAGGAAGCGCCTCTCCGGCACCCGCAGCGCCTGGCTGCACGAGGAGGGCTGGAGGCGAAACCACGGAGGGACCCGAGGAACAGCGGGCGCCTTCCGAATCCAAAGTGGCCCTTCTCACAAGAAGAAGAAGAAGAAGAAGAAGAAGAAGAAGAAGACAACTGCATGCACGTGAAATGGTTGGCGCTCCGCGCGGAGCGCCAAAGATTTCTGGTCATGGCGTCTTCTCCAGGGCTCCCAACTCCGCGCTCCGCGCTGCGCGCTGCGCGACACGCGAACAACTTCGCGCTCTCGCGCCGCCGCCCACGGGAAGAGGAGGAGGACGAGGAGGAATCGGAGCCGAACCGCGGAGCGCGACGCGCGAATGCCCTCGCGCCCTCGAGGGAGCGCCCCTGCTGCAGAAGCAGGCGGCAGCGCCGCGGGAGCGGCCTCCAGGAGCTCCAGGTTGCGCTCCAGCGTCCGCAGCCACGCCTTGCGGGGAGCGGACCGGGGGGAGCGGGCCCGAGAGAGAGGGCAGCGTCCGGGAGGCCGCCGCGGGGGGGGGGACGTGGGGACACGGGGGGGGGGGGGGGGGGGGCTGGAGCAAGACGAAGCCAGGATTGAGTCGGGCCTGTCCCCCTATAGGGGGATTTTGGGCGAACACAATGATCAACAAATGCCCCAAAATAGCCCACAAATGCTCAACAAATCGTCGCCCTACGATTTTTTTTTTTGTTTTTGAATATTCCTCCTGTAGATGGACAGGCCCGACTTAAAGCCAGGACGAGGATAAAATCGGGTGAGGATAAATCTCGGGGCCGTCCAAGAGGGGGCCGTCCAAGAGGGGGGGGCGCAAGTCATGGCCAGCGACATGTGCGCGGCCCAAGGGGAGGGCCGGAAACGCATCAAAAATAAAAGAAGCAGCCATGAAATCTGGGGAAGTATCATGGCCTCTGCCATGATATCCACACACATCCCTAGTCTATTCATCACCCCCTCTTGGCCGCACACGAAAATCGAGAATCTCTGAGATCCGGCGGCTCTGGAAGATATATCGGGCGTCGCGGCCTTCTCAGAGCATTCCGGAACGCTCTGCTAAGAGCGTTCTGGAACGCTCTGGAACGGATTTATCCTCATCCGAGCCCCGCTCGAAGGAGGGTCGTGGCTCAACTCTATCCGCCCCTGTACCTCAGACGTGCCGGACGGACCTGTTGCTCGGGAGCATCTGGACGACTGGACAGAGGAGGAGGAGCACGAGGAGCAGGAGGAGGGGAGCATATTGGAACAGAGCAGAGCAGAACGCCTGCGAACCCAGATCTCCTTCTCCTCCTCCTCCTCGTCCTCATCGTCGTCGTCGCCGTCCTCCCCCCTCCTCCTCGTTATCGTCGTCGTCGTCGTCCTCCTCCTCCTCCTCCTCATGATCCCCATCCTGCTGTATCCCAACTCGCTGCTTCCACGTAACCTCCCACACCTGTCTTCCAGAGCTCTGGAGCCCCTTTGAAACGACTTCGTGTTCGCCATCGCTACCTCTCCATACCCGCCTTCGCCATCGTCACCGGCATCATCATCACCATCATCATCATCATCACCATCATCATCATCATCATCATCATCATCAGTACCATCATCATCAGCATCATCACCATCACCATCTTCATCAACATCATTATCACAACCATCGTCATCATCATCATCATCATCATCATCATCATCATCATCATCAACACCACCATCGTCATCCTCATCCGCGTCATCATCATCAGCATCACTATCAGCATCATCATCCTCATCCTCATCATTATAAGCATCATCACAAACACCACCGTCAGCAACATCACAAACATAATCCGCATACATATCATCATCCTCGTCAAGATGATCAACATCATCATCCTTGCGATCGTCATCATCCGCGTCGTCATCATCAGCATCGGCATCAACAATATCATCCTCATCCTCATCATCATGAGCATTATCAACAACACCATCATCATCATCATCATCATCATCACCATCATCATCATCAACAATAGCACCATCATCATCATCATCAGCAGCATCATCATCATAATGGGCACCATAACCATCATCCTCGTCATCATCAGCATGCTCATCCTCATCCTCATCCTCATTATCATCATCATGGTTCTCATCATCACCATCATCAACATCATCATCATCATCATCATCATCACCATCATCATCTTCAGAATCAGCATCATCTCCGCAATCCTTCTGCACATCCCCTCTCCCCCTTGTGCCTTGTTCATGATTCGCGTCCAGCGAGGGAACGGCGCGGCCGCCAGAGCCCCAGCAAGGATAGAAAGCAGCTCACGGAAGCTGTTGGTCGTCCCTGTGGTGCCCAATAGCATGCCCAATCGGGCGCAAAGCGGGCATGATGCATCTCCCTCACATGGCGCTACTGGGCGCTGATGGTTGCTATTCGAGCGCTACTCGATCGCTACTGGGCGCTATTTGGCGCTGCTTGGCGCCATTGAGCGCCAGCGGGCGCTGCTCTCCGAAACGCACTCGATCCAGGACGAGCGGAAGCTCCCGTGGTTTACAGTAGGAGCCCGACCACAAGAAACCTTCCACAAGAAACCAAACCCTGAGACCCCAGGACGTCCACTGATTTTTTCCCGGTGTGAGAACGTCGCGTTTTCCAGCGCAAAGCCATCGAGACCCAAGCAACCCAGGGCACCCTGGAGGCAAGCAGGGTGCTTCTTGGCGTGGGCCTCCGCTGTACCATACATGATCTGTGGCAACGGTTTGCAGTCGGGCGCCTCGGAAGCAGCGCGACACGGCGCGCAGTCAGGGCGGCGACTGAGCCGCAGCGCTGCCTCCTCCCGCGCGGCGCAGGCCGCCCACAGCGCCTCCCTGGGGCGCACGCGCCACGAGGCCGCGCCTCCGCGGCCCGCCCGCTGCCGCCGAGCGCAGCAGCGAGAGCGCGAGAGACGCCCGCCGTGCTCGCCGTGCGCCTCCCTCTCCCCTCCGGGGGGGGCCCACGGTGCGGTGTCGCCGGCCGGGGCGTGGAGCGGCCGAGCCTCTTCAGCACGGTGGTCGTAGCCGAAGGGGTCCAGAGGGCTCGCCCGCTCGTCGCCGATGCAGCGCCGCTCGGATAAACTTGGCTTCGAGCGGAGTAGGAGGAGGATGTAGGAGGATGAGGAGGATATGGGGAGGAGGGAGGAGGAGGAGGAGGAGGATGAGAGGGAGGAGGAGGAGGAGGACGATGAGGAGTAAGAAGAAGAGGAGGAGGAGGAGGAAGATGAGGACGGCCGCCTTAACGCTCCTCCTCCCCCTCTGGGGGGGGTCCCCGTGCGGGCGCGCCGGGGGCCCCCGCCGCGTGGCGCGGCCGAGCCTCCCAGCCGGGGGTCGGAGCCGAAGGGGCTCGGAGGCTCGCGCGCCTCCGGCCGATGCATCGATAGCTAGCTAGGAGAGATTGGCTCCGAGTGGGAGGAGGAGGAGGAGGAGGAGGAGGAGGAGGAGAGGAAGAGGAGGACGAGGACGAGACGAGACGAGGACGAGGGGGAGGAGGAGGAGGAGGAGGAAGGAGGAGGGAGGGAGGGAGGAGGAGGAGGAGGAGGAGGGCGAGGGGACGAGGAGGAGGACGAAGAGGATGGGAGGAGGAAGGTAGAGGAGAAGGTGGGAGGAGTAGGACGTGGGGAGGAGGAGAGGAGAAAGGAGGAGAAGGAGGAGGAGAGAGGAGGAGGAGGGGCGGGGAAAGGAGAGGAGAGAAGGAGGAGGACGAGGACGAGGAGGAGGACGAGGAGGATGGAGGAGGAGGAGGAGGGAGCAAAAAAAGGATCAGGAGGAGGAGGAGGGGGAGGAGGAGGAGGAGGGGGAGGAAAACGAGGACGAGGAGGAGGACGGAGGCCTGGAAGGCAGCTGTCGTCGCCGCGGGGAACGGCATCCTTGGCCGGGCGTCGGCCCAGGGGCCGCCCTGCACCGGCCCACGAGCTTATCGGAGGACGGCGGCGGCGACGAGGACACGAGCACAGCGGGGGCAACGAACGACGAGGTGACAGGGGAGAATGGGGGAGACGTGAGACTCGGGTTCGGGTGACTCGGGTTGGCCTGACGGGGCCAGCATGAAAAAGACGCGACCAAGCCTGAAATTTGACGCGAGCTCCAGTAAGAGAACAAAAAAGTGGACCCCCCTCGTCGTCGATACCATGTTCGTTCCCCCCCCCTTTCCCCCGACTCAAAGTTGGGCACCGGCGTGGTGGAGGCCCGGGGGGTCCACTTTTTTTGTCCTGTCAAGCCTGCGCTCTTGAATGTCTGGGAACAAGAAGCCAGAGTGCAAAGAAGCCAGAGTGCGTCACCGTCGCAGACCCATATCGGCGTCGGTGGGGCCATCACCACCGTACTCTGCATCCTCGCGCTCGTCATCGTCATCCGCGTCGCGTTCATCATCGTCGCCAACGTCATCGTCAGAATCATCAGCATCATTGTCACCGTCGCCATCATCCTCGGCAATCTGATATTGCCGCTTCGCGGGCGAAAGCGGCACGGCGAAGCCGTGGGGAACGCGACTCATCCTTCGAACGGGATCGACGAAGCCTGCTCGAAGCTGCCGGCCTGCCCTCCTCCGCCCCCTCTGGCGCGGCGCCGTCACATGCAGGCCATCCTCCTCCTCCTCCTCCTCCTCCTCCTCCTCCTCCTCCTCCTCCTCCTCGGGCCACGATGTCTACCGTGGAATCGACGAAGCGTGCGCGAAACTGCTGGCCCGTCCTCCGCCCCATGGCATGGTGGTGCCACGCGCAGGCCAGAGCCGACGCGCCGAGTCCGCGGCCTCGCGGAGGCCCCGCAGGCGTCTGCGGCACTTCCGAGCTCTGCGCCCATCAAACGTGCGACGAGGGGCTTTCGAACCAAAATCCAGCAAAACGCGCGACAGAGATTCTGAGCTGCGCCACGCAAACGTGCGACGAGGGGCTTTCGAACCAGATCCAGCAGAACGCGCGACAGAGATTCTGAGCTGCGCCACGCAAACGTGCGACGAGGAGCTTCCGAACCGAATCCAGCAGAACGCGCGACAGAGATTCTGAGCTGCGCCAAGCAAACGTGCGACGAGGAGCTTCCGAACCGAATCCAGCAAAACGCGCGACAGAGATTCTGAGCTGCGCCAAGCAAACGTGCGACGAGGAGCTTCCGAACCGAATCCAGCAAAACGCGCGACAGAGATTCTGAGCTGCGCCAAGCAAACGTGCGACGAGGAGCTTCCGAACCGAATCCAGCAAAACGCGCGACAGAGATTCTGAGCTGCGCCAAGCAAACGTGCGACGATGGATTCCGGGGGGGAACCGAAACCGGCAACACGCGCCCCCCGTATCCGTATCCCCACGTCTTCCTCACAACCTACCTGAAACCCGAATGGTCGGAGAGTCGAAGGCATTTCACAAAGGCTCAGCTCCCCGAAGAAGTCGAGATACCTATTTCCGAATCTCCAGAGAAATCAGTTAAGACTACGGCGTCCGCGGTGGACTCACGCGTGT